ACATAGTAATTAAGACGTCACATAGTAATTAAGACGTCACATTGTAATTAAGACGTCACATTGTAATTAAGACGTCACATAGTAATTAAGACGCCACATTGTAATTAAGACGCCACATTGTAATTAAGACGTCACATTGAATGTAAAAGGTCACATTGCAAGTAAAAGATCACATTGCAAGTAAATGGTCACATTGCGAGCAAAAGGTCACATTGCGAGCAAAAGGTCACATTGCGAGTAAAAGGTCACATTGCGAGCAAAAGGTCACATTGCAAGTAAAAGGTCACATTGCGAGCAAAAGGTCACATTGCGAGCAAAAGGTCACATTGCAAGTAAAAGGTCACATTGCGAGCAAAAGGTCACACTGCGAGCAAAAGGTCACACTGCGAGTAAAAGTTGACATTGTAAATAAGAGGTTACATTCTAAGTATAATGACTGTATGTATTTACAATTCGCCACTATAGGGCGTGACTTGGACGAGTACTGCGATGTGATTACACTCACCTCCTTCTTTGCTTCAACGGAATCTTCCGAACCCTGAAGTGTAAGAGAAACGTCATTTCCGGATGTGTGACTTTTTACGATCACAATATGTACATTGATGTCAAATTGAATACTACTAGTATTTTGTATACATCTTTTATATTTCTAAACATAAGAATCGATCTTCCAATGGAAACATCTCTTGAAACAATTGTCTCTTTGATAGATGTTTTAACACGTTTATTTTCTTCAAAACTGAGACTAAAAACCGATCGATATTCATTGTTTCCAAATGTTTTAAATTCCAGTGGTAAGTTTAAAACTCCAACTCGCAGAATGCAGAATACCTCTCACAGATTGTTATGATCAGCATGAAAATGCTAAAAAGCAGAACATCTAAACACTACTGAAATCAAATATAATATTATTTTTTATAATCAAGGCCATTTGCTTGTGTGTTTGTTGGTATTTGTATGATGGCTACCTTTATTTTGCAGGTCCTTCTAGAATTCGGTTGGATAAAATGGCTTTATTCCATGCCATTATTCACAAACCCCAAAATAAAAATATAATGTCGTCGAACTTTCCACAACCAGTGGGAGTGAAACATCCATGAATTTTGTGATTTTTAATCATTTACTATTTAGTTCTGTGGTAAAAAGTTCTCGCATCTCAAAATATCGATCGGTTAGTTGTGGTAACACAATCTTACAAAGTTATAAGTTATTACATCGAGATTCATTGGGAATTTCTTAGCATGCGAACGACATAAAGACGGTCAATGTGCATTTGTTACAGAGAATGGAGATGAACTCACCTCGCCAATCAGTGCTTTGTTGTTAAGAACAGAGGCAACCACGGACACCAAGATGGCTGCGGCACCTGTATCATCGGCAGGAACGTTCTCATCCAACGAGTTGTTTGTACTCAGTATCAAACCACTTAGGAATGAAAACAAATCGTCCCCACTTATTAAGGGTGGTTCCACCTAGAATTATATGAAAAGTAGCACTGACATCCTGAAAGTTTTGAATTATAAGTAGCGCCCTCTAGCAACAACACATTCTTTTTTCTGACGTTAAAGGTCGGTGGTAGTCGTGCCACGCACAAGCCAGTTCACATAGAAGTTTAGCTAGAAAATTTCTGTGGTGATTGGAACGCATTGACAAATTAGGTATTGCAAAAAGTCGCGCCCTATCGAACATGTATTCGTACTTGCCATTGAAAGAACGCATTGGATAATGGGTAAATACATGTTTATCAGCATAAATGTTGCATGTTCGCGGCGCGACGACCACAGCCCTTTTACATCGATAACTGTTTGGTTGTTTAGACGTTCGTTATCTAGAATGGAGTAAAAAGTCTCATAAATGTCTAATAATGGACGACTCCAGGGGGGGGGTACTATATAAGAATTATCTATTGAGGACATGGGTCCTGTATTTAAAGATTCTAGTTATATATACTAGTATGTGTCTTATTTACTGTCTGAATAGGTTTAAAATTCACTAGCAGTTGTTGAATAAATATGAATCTACACGTATATGCAAGAATCGAAATTGCGCGTAAATACTGTTAACTTGTTTCAATCACGCCCTAGCCATGTTTTTCATGTCGTCCAGGCATACATATTATATACACAATTGTTCTTTGGTATAATTATGCTCATGGATTGTTTTAACACATGGGTATAAAATGCTCACAACTTCGAAGGCACCCTTCTAGGTTTTAGGTCTAGCCCCCCCCCCCGATCTCAACGTTTTGAACGGCAATCGAGTCACCTATTTACGTAATAGAATTGCTTGGAGGGCGCGATTTATAAGATATCCAGTGCGCATGTGCAATAAAAAGACCCTACAGACTGAGGCAAGCGTCGTTAAATTTAATTGCGATAATTTTGATGTATTAAAGTTGTAACACATCGATATTGTGTGTGTCTATCTCTTTGCTCACCGTAGTTACCAGCATCACCGTAGTCTGGGCAGAATACGCGTCGGAAATCAATACGCGAATGTCAACTGTGTGATTATACGTGACGTCACCCATAGGCAATGGAAATGCGGAAGACGTTGCATCGTAACCATGGTAGAGTAGGAGATAGGTAGAGGAACCTCTAGAACGGGCATAAACGTCATATCTCAGTGGTGTATCGGTATCAGCCCAGCCTGTGCAGGACACGTTGTATTCAGTCATAATGGCATATCCTTCAAAAGATTGTGAAGAAACGGCGTTATGTCTTTTGCGTCATACTACAATACTTCTTATGGAAGTTAATTAAATGAGAAATATGCAAGTCTGCATTGTTCAGACTCCCCCTTCTGAGTCCTTTTTTTTTTACTTTTTTTGTTATTGTAATATAAAAGTGTAAATGAAAATCTTCGTCCGAAAATTGTACAGATACAAAAACAAAAAAGGAAAGTAATACATGTATATTACATGTACCATAAATTAGTCAATCCATGGATAGTACACATTTGTAAGGTGAATCAATGTATACCTGTAGAGGGCGCCACCATACACGTGCCGTTCCGTGGTGGGAAGTTGACAGTGAAATTCAGCGATTGGCTGGTAAGGAAGTCAGCGCTGTGATTATTGGAAATCAGACTAACTCGCAGTATGTACTGGCTTCCACTTTCAAGCTGATCGGGGTTAATATAAAGATATTCTGATGTAAATCCTGAAAAAAAAACAGGGAAATTAAAAAGAAACATTAATATCGACATGAAATGAAACAATGCACCAGTGACCCGTTTTTTTGTTTTTTGTTTTTTTTGTAAATGACATAGCTACCTGTGCTCGTGAACGGACCAGACATGTCGACTGCTTCGACGGTATCACTGTTTCGAGCTTTCGAAAGAGTCCACATCGTTCCAAGCAGTGCAAGATCACAGTCATGACACGTGTATGTGGTTACCAATGGTAGACTGGGACTAACAGCGTTCAAATAGCAGTTGGATAGACACCTGTAAATGGAAGAGTTGGTTATAATGGATATCATCAGAGGTACATTATCTCATATCATATACTCATTAATGTAATATCTTCAGGATCTTAACTCGTCTGACAAAGTCGGTGCGAGTTGCTGTGCCCTCCCTCGCCGTCAGACCCAGACGCATTCTATTTCATCCGAGAGGGCGCAGTAACTCCGACCGACTGTTACGTCCAGTTGTAACTTACTTGAGCTCAGGGGATAATTCTAATGTCGTGTTCATTCCTGTTGAACAAAAATAAATCTGTTATTTATTCTGTATGTGTGCTCAATAATTTTTGGAAAAGTTCATTATTTATAATAAAACACTTTGCAATACTTTAAATTACAACAACGAACCAGAGTGCGTAATGCACTTAGCATCGGAGGTATAATGTGGAAGATCGTCGCAGTTCACCATCCACGGCTTTCCTATCGAAGCCAACGAGATCTCGCAGTCGTCCCGTACTTGTTCGCACATTGACCGGCAAGGTATCGTCGACCTATTCGTGTTGGTGGAGCAAACAGGAAACGACAGTGCGCAGAAAAACGAAGTCGCGTATTCTGAACAATTGAGATGAGGCGTCAGAGTCTCCATTGATTGTCTGGCCGCGTCGGCGTTGTACTCGTAAGGATTGGGGAAATAGGTGTGTTGGTAAGGCAACACGTTCTGGCACATCGGGAAGGTAATGTTGACGCAAACGGGGATGTCTGGAAATAGAATGATTGCACAGAAGTTATAAAAGCAATACAATACTAGTACACAAAGGCAATAAACAAACTGTTTCGCAACAGCCACAATCATGGAGCTAAAAGTATTGCGGGCACATGCGGTAATAATACACGGGTGATATAAACAAAATAGTGGTCTTTCCGCGATTATAACAGGATATAAGCACGTGCTTCTTTGCAGTTTGAAGTTGCAGCCATCACCGAGCCATGAATGACGCGTTGATCATAACCAAGAAATATTGTAAAAGGAACTGTAAAAATCATAATGGCAACAACTTACTGGGAATGGATGTGCAGTTGTCGTTGTTTTCATCTTCCCCACCAATGCAGTCATGGAAACCGTCACAGTACCAATCCCGTGGTATGCAGACGTCGCTATGGCAACGAAACACATCGCCAGTGTCACAATCGATGGATACATTATCATCTTCAACGAAAATAAAATATACAGGAAAATTTAGGGAAAAAAAAAACAAATGTTTTATTTTGTCATCAATAATAAGCAGAGACGTGTTTTTTTCAAAATGGAATTATTTTGTTCATGTTTATTACATTTATGCACGAAATGTGTGAGATAATATAGCAGGAAAACGTACACTGAGTGTTGTGCTTTTCTGGTGCCCAACATTGACATAGTTTTAAGCAATGTTTGGCATCGAAAAAATCGCCGACTCGTCGTGATGTCAGCGCAAAGCATGGTGGCATGGATAGATGTATTATTACAAAATATGTAATACGAATGAATACACGTTGTAAAAAAAACATGTGAAACAGTAAAATATGGACATATATTTTGCCTTATTTGTCACGAAGCATCTTGTCTTTTTAGCACACGCACACAGCAGTATTCGTTCGATGATTTTTTGAAAAAAAACTGCTGCGCATGTGCTGTGATTGTTATCGTACGTACCAAAACAACCAGTACGCATGCGTATTAAAAAAAATGAATCGTTCATCGAAGAAATAGGCAGCTGTACATCTGAAATAATTCATTTTGTATGACTTAGCGAATCGGATATATAGTTGAAAGTGGCGATGGGTGTGGTGTATGTCCGGTAATATGAGATACGAATTGGACCACATGCTTCAGTACTTACAGCTTTGTGAGCTCGTGCAAAGTGAGAGAAGAAATAATAATGCAAATTTCATAAATATATGCAAGATTCCGCGCTTCATTATTCCATACATCGCTAGTTATCTTGACGTCACTTCCTGAAACAAAGATATTATTTTAGTTTTAATTGCCTTCGAAAAATACAATCATAGCTATCGGAGAAAAGCGCTAAAATATCTAATATGTGTTAATATCTAATAACTTAGGGAGTTCGAGTCTAATTCAAATATAGCATCTGTTGAGAATACTAGTATTTCTGCGCATATAGATTATGTTCTAGGTAAGATAAAAAAAAAATGTTTTCATCATAAAAACAAATACCAAAAAAATAACACAGTTGGAGTAGAACTGGTCTGCTATCGTTGATGTTTATTGTCGCACATCAAATTCGCCCGAGACGGACAATTCAAAATTAGGCTGGTCAAATACTGTAAAACAAGTCTTTTTAGCTAGCATGTTATTTTAACTAATTTAGTTAATCTGTAATTTCGCTAATTCAAGTTGCAGCTAATTTAACAGAAAGTCTATTCTTACAGGGAGATAGTTGATTCTGTTAATTCACGCCAAGAGTCAAATCCGCTGAAATTGCATGCAGCTATTTCAACGTGTTCTACGGTAGTTTACAGATGAGTGAGATTCCCTTTTCGGTTTTAGTTTTCCGCAATGTGTTTTAGTCTTCTGCATTGTTTTTTAGTCTTCTGCATTGTGTTTTAGTCTTCTGCATTGTGTTTTTAAACTAGTTTTATTGCATCACGCTGCATAACCTTACAATCACCGCAATCGCCATAAATGGTAGTTGTTAAATCAATCCAGCCAATAATCCCTCGTCCCTTGACATACATGTTATTTCACATATATATGTCAAAATGGCACAAACAAATAAATGAATTGTCAGCTTTTCTCAACAAAACACAATAATTTACTATATACAATGAGAAGAAAACTCTGACCCGACAATATATAGATATGTATTGCCAATAATTACTCTCAAAGCATTTCCGATATGGAAGTGGTAAAACAATTGATGCGATCGTCATTTATGATCGTGCCATTTCTGAATATTCCCAGGCGAGTCCACTCAACCCTGCTGTGTCAATCCATAGACCTCTAGAAGGTCTATGGTCAATTGCATTCAATCCAAGAAACTTTCACCGTCAATGCGGTATTGTGATTGCTTTATTGTTGAGAAAATAGTGAAATGAACCCCTGGAGTTTCGGCTGAGTAATTGATTGGTTGGTTGTTTAACACTTGATTAGTCCATAGACCTTTTCTAAGGTCTATGATTAATCAAGTGTTTGTATATTCATATTTTCACAGTTTTCACAGCAAATACAGTTATGTTAAATAACTGCATATAATTATGTATTATTAGGGCAAGTAGCATGTTGTCAGTAGAATAGTTAGGTCATGGAGGTAAAAGACAGACCATGGTTAGGTTAAACCAGGGAGCTCCCTGGTTAAACACAGAGCCTCCATAGACTGTAGAGGTACTTTCATAATGTTGCGATCATTGCCAAAACAATTTGAATAAACCGACCAATACCATTACATGTTCTGTGATGAGATGCGTTAATTGCGTCATTCTTAATAATGTCGTATAGATTCAATTTTGTTGTGAGTTTTTCGCCCGCGCTGTAGTTGGAAATCATGACCGGTCTATATTAGCGGGGCAATCGTATGCCACGGAGCTCCAGGGTGTGTAGTTCCATGGTAGGTATGGTTAATACGGCGGTGTAAGTTATACGCTAATTGACAAGAAGTGGAATGAAATAACAAATACGGAATATTACAAATGATGGTACAGAGAAAGGGCGCCAGTGTCGTGGCACAGATCAAGCAATTAATGTGGGTATTTACCGTAATGTTAATGAAGTTGTAGGTTGTGGCGCATCTTTTGAATAGAGTGTGAAACACCGTGACGGAAGAGCGGGAAACGTACATTCGCTTTGCATCAAAGAAGAAAACATAATAGCCTTCATTTAATTCAGTGGTCTGACGATCACCAGAGCTGTTTGTGTGTGTGTTTGTGTGTGTGTGTGTGAACACGTTTTGTAACTGACGTACAAGTTGATCGGAATATCAGTTGACTCAGTTCCATGGTTGACTCATCTTTCATTAGCTCCATGTTGACTCAAGCTAAAATTACATTTACAAGACTTACCTTTCAGCGGCCTATTCACCCTTTCCCATGGCAGCTTTTCTTGCCCTGTTGTGATATGTCCCGAGAAACTCGCTCCGAACACTTTGGCGATGACGCTGGTACCGGGTGTATGATGCGAACTTTCCCAACTGAAGCGATCGATGCAGTTCGACTTCTCCCGTTCGACGAGTGATGGTTACGTAACTGTTATCATTGGTGATTGGCTTGTGTGTTTAAGTACAATGATACGTTTACAAACAGTCATCAACGCTGAATATGTTTAATTTGGACAAGATTGCAAACTTTTTGGTGCAGCTGTTGGATGATTACAGCGCCCCCAAGCCCAGATAGAAGTAGTTTTACTACAAATTTACTGAAAGTGCTTCGCGGATAAATAGCTATACAACTATACAAAGGTGTTATAACGACCACAAATGTGAATAGTTTGTCATCACCCTACATTACTGATAATAATAATAATAATAATAATAATAATAATAATAATAATAATAATAATAATAATAATAATAATAATAATAATAATAATAATAATAATAATAATAATAATAATAATAATAATAATAATAATGACTCTTATTCATTCAAGTTCCCTAGAGAGAAATGAAATGGTCACTAAAATACATATAATAAGGTATTAAAAGTAATAAACAAAGAATTAGAAAATAAGAAACTAAGATGAAATTGCGAAAATGCTTACAAAATTTGAAAATCACAATTGTTCTAGAGAATAGTTCAGGTAAAAAAAATGTTTTTGTAAGCGACTGTTTTCTGGCCTAAAAAGCATACTTATAAAAACACAGACGCACGCACGTACACACATACATACATACACGAAGAAAAAAAACTGACTTTCAAATTTAGGTAAGAAGAAAATGTTAGGCTAGGAGGAATTTCGCAAGTGCAAATGATGACCATATATGCATCAAGCCATAGCATGACAGAATCGACTCAGAACCATCCAACAAGCACCAACATTGTACTTGTAATTAGAGAACGTGCAGAATGTACTAGCAAGGAGCATGGTGCAAGTAAATGTTAACAAAGTTTTCAAGTCTCAAGTGATTACGTGTATTACATCATGCTAATAAACATTGATGTGACTCAGGCTTGATTCATTAATTCTTTATATTTCTGCCATTCATTTGAAAAGGGCGAATTGTTTTTATACTAGCAGTAAGTAAAGAAAATGTCGTCGTCCCGTCGTACACTCGGCGCCCTCTGTCCTTTATGTTGATTGCAGAACATGTCGTATTAATATTGGTGATTAATAGTATTTTATATTTTTAGAGGGATTTTGAAAATGTAATCAGAGTTTTTTTCGGACTTTCAGTCCATGCCAACGAGCAAAATATGATATATGAAGAAATACTTTGACCGTGGAATCAAATGCAGAACAAAAAGATAACGCGACCCGATCTGATGACCCCAATTGTTTTCATTTTCTGTAGTATGAAAAAAGTATGAAATGACAGAGTTCCGTTTACAGTGGTTTATAAACGGCACCCCATTTGTTGAAAAAATTATGATGTATGGCTAGTACGTACGAAAACACACGTGCCACCACAATTAATGATCTAACCAATCACTGGGATCCAAATAGGTTGCTTACAAATATTGTAAAGACGTCATCGTTTTTTAAAGTCTTCTGATTGGTCTCAAGTTTGCTACAAATTCCCACTGCACTAGGAAGCGCCCGTCGCGTTGTGGACGGTCCTGGGACAGTCGAGCCGACGCGGTGCGAGGGAGGGTTGCGAAGTGGAGCCGGTGCTTTTGAGATGAAAAATGAATAACCGAATATCGAAATGTCGAATTAACTTCGTTTCTGTGTTACAACAAGCCACAGAATCGTTAGAAACCAGTCCTGGTTTTTATTTACAACATTTTCCAAGAAAACTGACGACGACGACAAGATGTACACCACCAGGCGACATCTTTCCATTTGTTGACCGACGTAATATGCTACGACCTGTCGATGCATTCTCGGGCAGATACATCTGCGATGACGCTACTGAATGGCAACATACGGAGATGAATGATTGGAATACCCAAATGTTGGCTTTACCTTCAAGGTGTCCTAGTCTATGCTACCCAAGGTAGGTAATTTGGGAGGACTGTCTTTATTGTGGCTGTCTGGAACATGCCAGGGAACCGGTCACTGTATTTTGCTTTAGTGTCTATCGGACACGAAACAAAATATCTTCATATTTCAATGACAAAACACATATAACAGAGACAGTATTATAAATGTATCACCAGTAAACAGTTTGTGTTTTATATTTCTCGTTGTTTTGTTTAATTTGTAGTCTCATTTGGGACGGTTGCAGTTTTCAGAGGAACATCGCCTCCCCGAGGATCGACTCACCAGGAGAATCTCGAGGAAACCATATTTTACCGAGATCAGCAAAAACCAGAAGAAAGTCAAAAAATGCCCGATTCACTACAAATGATTGGTAAAGCTTGTCATATATATTTCATTTATTCCAATATATTACTTTAAATGTATTTTATTGTGACAGCGAACATGCAGACTAAACGAGAGCAAATGCCACAAACAAACATGCTATTTGGCCACAGTCACCGACTTGACTGTGTTAGAGAGAGATAGACAGTGAGAAAGAAATCGGTTTAATTATTACTTTTTAATACTGCCGAACATATTGATCGTCATCAACTGCATTAATATGATTATCCATGCACGTTTACACTTTTTCTTTAAATAATTTCTGTTAGAGGATGAAACTACCATGACAGATGAATTTGCATTTAGTGACATATTTCTGCCAAGTTACAGTTCTATTGATTCAGCAGTACTAGATAATGATCTGTTGTCATCGACCCTCCAGCAAGTAGAAAAAGAAAACGAAGACAAATATATAACAGACCTGATATTGGATTTGACAGAAGATTATGGCAGTACGCCAACCAGAAAGGTTAGTCTTATTTTATGGGAGGATCCAATTTATGTAAACATAGGAGCATTTTTTGATGTAGTCACCAAAGCTCCAAAAAAACAACAATAGCTTTCTTTTAAGTACCTTGATGAAATATATGACAAGAAACTTCCTTCATGCAACATGCTGCATTTTCAACTGGTAGCACACAAAATCAAGTCAGTTTGAATTTCTGGCCTCTATATAAAAAAAAAAACTAGTATAAAACTGTATTATAAATAAATTAAACGTTTTTTGAAATGTTTATGTTAATTGTACAAACAATACTTCTATCTGTCTTCTAAAATTTAGTCCATGATGGTAGTCGTTGGAAATACAGTTTACAAATTCATTCAGTAATATATATATATATATACATGTATATATATATACTGTAAAATACTTTATTTTAGCTGGAATAAATTTTCGCTGAAAAGATTTTTTGGGTGTTTTGTATGGAATTTATTTTCACTAATTCTGACGAGTTGAATGTAAAATATAGGAAAAAAGGGTATATTCGCTGGATTTTATTTTC